AATGAATGTTTATACATGGATGCTGTAGGACAATAGACAGACCTGGATAATTGTTGGTTAAAATCTGTACATATTAATTACCCAATTTGCATAATTAACCAATTTTAAGCTTTCACACTGATATCTAAAGTACTAATTTCCATTTTAATGAAACTTAGTACAAAGATGGTCTAGGACAATGTACAAACCTAATTAGTTTGGGGTAAAACTCTGTTCATATTATTTCCCTAATTAGCATAATAATTCATGATTTTTTGGTTCTAATCACATTTCAATTAAACTTGGTACATAGAGTTTTTGTTACATTGCGCAGACCTCATTAGTTTTACAATCAAATCTGTTCATGTTAATTTTCTGATTTGCATAATTAGTTTTCAGCTAAGTAATTTCAAATTATATTTAATGTGTCTCCAATACTCTCAGCACATGGGAGTTCTTTCTAAGCTTTCTTTGATTCACGGATGTTTTTGGTGATACCTAACCCTATATAAGGATTTGTAGAACGCACGGCATTGGATTTATGTTTTACATACATAAAGTTTTAAAATGTTGGTAACAGGTTGATAAATTAACATACTTTTATATTCGGATTTTCTCTTCGCCAGTTGTACCTCCTTATTGTATGTGGGTGTCAAAAACATTATTGCAAATAGTTGACCGATTCATAGGCATATTGTTCCCTAAACACCAACACAACGGTCATCAACCATTTCCCAGACTGGTTCGAATTGATTGCATTCAGACATCGCATTGGTTCTTGGTGAGTTATTGATGGACGCCAATGTGTATTTTAGTTGTTTTAACTGAATTTGCTGACCTTGCCATTTATTACATGAAATAGACGTTATTTATTGTAGTAAAATTGTATATATAAATTTGTTTACTTATTTATTTTATCCATGGCTAACTTTAAATGCGATAGATAGTGTATAGCTTGAATGAGTAGATTGAGTTCCTTGGAGGGCGATTAACAGAGGAAGCCAACCCAAATTTCATTCATTCAATTACTTTCTATTAATTTCAGATACCTAGTAATACGCCAGGTCAACTTCGCACGATGAACCACCAATGTGTGAAGAAGGAAGGAGAATCTCGGGTCAGCATTATTATCGAGGTAGGCATGAACGCAAAAACTGCCAGAGTTTTAATTGAAACAATTCATGCCTATGAGAAACACGTTCCTCTGACATTATTCGTTTACGGTGACTTTGTGGAATTGTATCCTGAACTAATCACAGAGTGGAGCAAAGAGTACGAGATCGGCATCAGAGGAAGCAGTCCGCTACCAAGGAACCTGTGGGCGTTACAAAACTATGGAATTCAGCGACTGTCCGTTGTCAGTGCTGAGATGAAATTAAGCAAATTGGGACTAACAGCAGCGTATATATTTCCACCTGAATTTGGGGAGACTGTCGCACTCGTTGCAAGTGAGAGAAATCTGCGAATGATTAATTCGACTGTGACACTGCCACCAAGAAGTGGTAAGTATATAAAAGGAACCGTCTCATTAGTGTGATAGTGAACGTCAGAAAGAGAGAAAAAAACACGGATTTGGATTATTTTCGATCAAATGAATGAATAAATATGTTCTTAAAGAGCTACTTGCAGACAGCTAATGAGAAATGTATGCCATTGCAGCCAGTAGTTTCTAATTGTTAAATGTATTAGTTGAAGCCGTTCGTGAAATGCGAAGTGGCGTATGGTATGAGGTGCTTTAGAATGAACAAATGCGCCGAGACAAAGCT